AGTTCTTTTTAATTTGTCCTCTTTAGAGCATCATGTGCCTGTTGTAATTGCTCTTAAATATGGTGGGCCTACAGTAGAATAAAACAGCATTTAGAGAGGTAAGCAATGCTTTTCAGAGTGGAGATCATATTTTTTTATGTTTACATTGAATACAATATCTATTACACCTTATTAATAAGAGTGGAGTACATATACTGAGCAATCACAGAATAATAGAATGGCTTGGGTTGGAAGGGACTTTAAAGATCATCTAGTTCCAACACCCCCTGACATGAGTAAGGATGCCACCCACCAGATCAGGTTTCTGGGGGCTGCATTCAACCTGGCTTGGAGTACTTCCAGGCATGGGAATCTACTACTTCTCTAGATGATCAGTTCTGGTGCCTCACTATACTCTTAATAAAAAAATCCTTCCTGATATATAACCTGAATTTCTCTAAATTTAAAACTGTTCCTCCTCCTTCTCCTATCACTATCACCCCATGTAAAAAGTTGTCCTCCATCTTTTTTATAAGCCCCCTTTAACTACTAGCCACAATGAGGTTCTCCCAGAGCCTTCCCCTCTCCAGGCTGAACAACCCCAACTCTCTCAGCCTGTCTCCTTATTAGAGCTGCTTCAGCCCTCTGACCATCTTCATGCCCTTCTCTGGACCTGCTCTAACATGTGCTGAGCCCTCCAGACCTACTTGTAGGTAGTGCTGAAGATGGGGTCTGATGAGGGCTGAGTAGAAGGGGAGAATCTTGACCTACTGACCACATGCAAAGACTAAGATGTGGTGGAAATTTGAATTAATAGTTGAGGAAGGAAGGAAGATTCCCCTTCCTTCACCCTGCTGCATGGCATATACATAAATTTGCATCTAATACCAAAAGATGGATATCCCACAATAATATTTTCCTTCATCCTACTCTTGGGTGAAAAAGAGTACAGTAGCTTTTTCTAAGAAATTAAAACTCCACCTTCCCATTTAATAAAAGCAATTAAGAAAATCTAAGAAAATTAGAGACTCAGTTTCTGTCCAGTGAACAATCATGTTTTGTTCTGCAAATAAGTGAGGAGCTATATCATTTCCCTAGTCACCATTCTCCACTGGGCAGCAGTTGATGATTTAGTAGTAATTATCTCCTTGAGACAGCATGGATTTAAGAAATGCAACTAAAAATTCAACACCAGAAAAAGAAGTTCTGTACTGTGGATGGCTCAGTGACAGAGGTATGGAAAAAAAATTTCATCCATAGTTTATGAAAGAATAATTTTTCAAAAATCTTTTTTACACTTTCTAGACAGACTGCTATAAAACAAATGATACCATTTTAATTCGTAGCATGGGGGTTTTTTCAGCTTTAATAAGTTTTATAAAGATTCACACTTTTCTTTCATATATGTGTTTGTATTGGGCTAGATATCTAAGTAACGAAATCTTCTTTTACATGAATGATGTTTCTAACCCTCTCTTGAGATTTTACAAAAGTCAGAATTTGTAAATGAGGCAGACTCATCCACAAATACTATGGCTGTATTTTGCTCACAAACTAGAATTAAAATATAGTGGCTTTTAGGGCCAGTACTTGATTTCACAATTCCAGAGTGAAGCATCTGTCAGAGGTGTTAGACCAGAAATTATTTATCCTATTAATACATATGTGTTTATCTAAAACAGAATACATTATATTTTTACTTACTTTTAGGGCACATGAACCTACTGCAGACAGAAAGATAAGAATGATAAAGAAAGTAACTTCATCAGTACTTGTGTAATCCATATAGAATATCACACAGGCGTGAATTTGGCAGGAGATAAATCTATATCAGATATATCAACCCCTATTTACAACTCCAAACAACTCACTATAAATTGAACTTTATTCAGAAAAAGAATATTTGCTCTTCTATATACAAATTCAGTAGTTTAAGAAATCAGTCAGAAAGTGTTCCAATGCAAACAACATTAAATGCAGCAATTATAAAACAAGTACTGAAGTAATTTTCCCTTAACAGGGTGTGGGTGTGAAGAAGTAAACTTACTGTCTCGTGGTTGCTGCAAGACTTGCTTCCATGCCAGTAAAGGTTTATTGTTGCTTATTATTAAATGTTTTTTAAATGGCAGTTTTAAAATGGCACACATACCTGAGTGGCAATGTTATGATTGTGTTGTCCCAAGACACTAAGTTTTTCTTTTTCACTAAGAAAGTGGCCTAATAGGAGCAAGAAGCATGATCTCTTTTCTCAAGATCTCTATAAAAACACTCCATCCTCAGAATGAAGTAATTTCTTGCATGTGGCAGTATGAATTGGGAGTGACAACAAAAACAAAACATAACTGGAAATTAGAAGAACTTCCTCTGAAAAATAAAAAAAGGTGTAAATGCTCCATAGAGAAGAAATCTAGAGGATAAACTGAATTGTTTATGTATTTATTTATTTATGGCTATTTCTACTGCATATTCAATATGGGATGTGTGTATCCGCAGTCATTTGACCTATGATTGTTCAATCGTGTCATGGAGCTGACACATCAGGTGCTGCAAAAATATGATGTATTTGGTCATGATAAACACTGTAGCAATACATTTTGAGTAGGTACTCCAGGAGGCATAGCACCACAAATGCACCCGCATCTGTGGACTACAACAAAATAACACATTTTCCCTTTTGTGGGAATCATGTTTTTATAAGACTTCATGACAGCACATAAGTGCAGCCTCTTATTAGAAACTTTTCTCCTGCATAAATTCTGGGAAGTCTGAAATGGGAAGCTAAACTAAGCAAAGGCAGATTAGGTCATCCACACTTGGCAAGAGGAGCTGGAGCACAAACATGGCTCAGTTATGACAGCCTTTGGCTGAACATTTTCACTGCAGTTATTGTGAAGTGTTAATACATCTTGTAAGTTATAACATGGTCTTTCTGATTGTGACAGACTTGTGACAAAGAATCATGATAGCATTTGGATAAACAAAAATAAAGCATTCTTGGAAGGAGAAAACTGGTAGCTGAACCTTATTCAACCCTCTCTTATCAAGAGTAACGTTTTCAAAATTATTTCTTGCCTCTTGGAAATGGAGTTTGAGACTCATTTCAAAGTACTGGTGTCCAGGTATCACTTTACTAAAATTCTACTGTTGCAGGTGTCTAAATTGCCTCCAATAACCAATATTTTACCTAATGATCCATTATAAATTTAGGATTAAATCTGTTTTATTGTTACTGGATGAAAATCCCTGGCCAGTATCTTAAAATCTCTTACATGTCTATGTGTTCTGCTCTTAATCTAAAAGCTGGGCTGCTTGTGCTGATACCAAAAAATAAACCAACCCAAACAGTAGTTTGGTTGTATTTGTAATTGTCAGCTGAAACTATTGTCTTGCTGAAATATCTTATCTTTTTTTAATTTCAGTATGCTATTTTGGTATAAAATAACCATAGTGAAGTTATTAAAAGTAACAGTTACATGAAGCTAGAATTTGTTGAACAGAAAAAAAGATGTGGTCATTGTCCAAAGAAAGATGACTGGAATGAAAGGCAAGGAAAAGAGTTGAAAAAATTTATTCAATACAGTTTGGGAACGTGAGAAGAAGCTGACACACAGCAACAATATCTTAATACATAAATGGTTTTACAAAAAGGCTGTCATAAGTTGCTTTCTGTGGCTAACAGAGGGGGACTGGATAGGGGAGGGAAGAGTTGAAAGACAGTGGCTTGAAAATTAGCATGGATTAACAGTAAAAGCTTTCTTAAATATGAAGAGATGAACAGAACAGGGTATATATAAAAGATGTAAAATATACTGCATTTTAAGAATTGTATGAATAAACATCTCTTGATAATGTCCTCAAAACAGATATTCTGCCTGTGGTCCTAAAGGTATTGTGGTGGTTTTAAAACCATGGCTTTCACAATTTCTACACCTATAGAAACTTCTGATTTTGATCTCCTTGTCCATGCTTGTGGTGTTACTTAAAACTGCAGAAATTGTTTGGATAAAAAATTAATTTTGGGAATCTCCTGTAATTCATTGCCCTTGGACTAACAGACAGATTTCCACATATCTTAAAGAAGAAAAAAACAAAATTAAAAATAACTAGTTTTCTGGTTAGGAATTAAGAAAATTATTGATACCTATATATTAAACATTGCACCTGACTTCAGCTTGGGGAAAGGTCACACCTTGACCCAATTAGAGAAAAGAAGAGCAAGACATATAGGAAAACACAGAAGGAGAGCATTTGAGATGCAATAATAAAAATCGGTTATTTTGTCTCTTCACCCATCGCTGTTTCTCTGTGTTTGAGAATTCACAGCATTCTAGAACTTACTGTGTTCCATTGACAGGACTCAAAGAAATGGCATGAAGCTGTGTCAAGGGAGTTTTAAGTTGTGCCTTAGGAAAAGGTTCCTCCCCCAGAGGCTGTTTGGGCACTGAAGCAGCTCCCCAGGGCAGTGGTCACAGCACCAGCCTGACAAGAAGCATTTGGACAGTGCTCTCAGGCACATGGTGTGACTCTTGGGCCCATCTTATGTAAGGCCAGAAGCTGGGCTTTGATGATCCCATCACCCATCATGCCCTTGTGGATCCCATCCAATTCAGGACCTTCTATGGTTCTGTGACTCTGAATATCAAGAAGTATCTATAAATGTGCTGTAGCAGAACAGGGGAAGTCCTGGTCACGGACACCCATAATTAATTTTTTTAAGTCAATCAAAGAAATTGATTCTCTTCTTCTATGGGCATCTTGGCAAAAATGGGACCACTGCCTCTGAGTGTAGAATGTAACAATGTAGTGCATTTTTCAGCTCCCTGCAGTGATTGCAGAGAGCAACAGCCCAGTCTCTGGAGAATGTAAAATAATCATATGTTAGCCAGAGATGATGGAGAGATGTCTTTTGGCTTGATAGAGCATCAAGATCTATGTTCCTTTATGCAAAATGGGTCAGTGAAGTATTTGAATAAGCAAGGAACTTAAAACTCACATTTCAGTAGACTGCCAAGTGTGGATTGTTTCCTTTAATACTATTTAACTTTCCTCTGAAATACTTCCAGCCACTTTGAAAACTCAAGGTGTGTTTCATTATTAAGGTTCACAGTTATATATTGACTCAGATGTCAGAATTTCCATTAAATGCTTCAGTGACCGATTGTCAGGGATAGGCATAGGAGTTCTTGTACCTCCCTTCTTTATCTGCTGAATGCCGCCTCCATCCTTAACATTGGGTGCTTGTGGTTTACCTGCAAGTCAGACTGTAAAGAAATCAATTATATAAGAATACGCTCCTCTGGCAAATTGCAAAGGAAGGTACATAACTACAAGGTGGTAAAGAGGCACTGTTTAAATCTTGGCAGAGCATGTAATGAATTGGAAATGGTTAACCACAAAGACTTCTTGCTTCAAAGTTGTTGGAGGAATAACACTTTCCCCTCCAGTGTTTATACTATGGAAAAAACTATGTGACGTTAAAGTAGTACTAGTAATTAAAAAAAACTTGGCTAGGCTGCCTCATAGTACATTCAAAAAGAAAAAAAAAAAATGCTGTGCACATTCACTATCAATTTCATCCCAGTGGCATTACTTAGCATAGTTAGTATTAAGATTTGAAGCTATTTTGCATAAACAGGATGACAGCTCAACACAGTTGGGGGTGTTTTTATTGCCAATTTAAATGGTGTTAAATTAGTGAGTACTTAAGCTATACTAAAACAATTTAGGGTCCAATCCACAAAAGTCTTGGCTTCAGAATATTGTAATATGAATGAAAACCTCAGTTTTAGGCTTCTGTTCAACACATTGCTTTGCAACTGGCAATCACTTTGAGCTTATTATTGCCTTTCTTAGAACTATCCCATCTCACTAGGAGTTCAGTCTCGACTATGTGGTCTCTTCAATGGGACTAGACATGCATGGTCCAGTTGAAAAGCTGAAATGCTAAAAGATTAACAGCAATAACTCATAATCATAGCAATAATAATTAATGAAAAGGATTCGTACAGGGCTTTCAGCACACAAAATATACCTGCTGAAGCTGTCAATGATTGGTATAATGGAAACAAAAAGCTTCAACTCTAAATTGGTTTCCCTCCTTAAAAAGAATTGGTATGCACTTACCTACTAGTAAATGTATTATTTCTTTGGGTTTTTTTTTTCCCAACATGAGGAAAGAATCATTCAGAAGGCCTGTTTTCATATACCTATTGTGTCTGCTGTTGAGGAGATGGAATGCTGCAGCACCAGGAGAGCTGGGCACTTTATTTGTAGAGCTGTGTGTTGTGCCTTCCAGGGGCTCATGTGCTTTTACATTAGTCAAGCAAGTACAGGGAGTTAATGGTGCCATCATCTGTGAAGGCAGCTATTTTGCCCACCCTCTGTGCTAGAGGAAATGTACTGCTGGATTTTTTTCTTTTTTATCTTTTTTTCTTTTTTTCTCACAATAAATTGTGAGTGAGAAGGAGTAAAGGGAAGATTTGGAGGATCAGAGAGAGATGAAAGTTTTCCAGTTGGCCCTACTGTTCTTTTCATTTTTTAAAAGAAAAAAATCCCCGCTTTGAGATATACTATAGCCACCAAATTGTTCATGAATCATTTCATTCTGGTGACATATATATTTGAAGATTTTATGGGTGGATTTTAGAAACTATTTATTCTTTAGTTATTGCTTTATTTACATATCTAATGGATTGATTAATGTGATAGCATCCCCCAGGAAGCAGAAGCCTCATTTCTGTTTTTTCAGAAGAAATTATTTGCTAACAGACAGGAGTTTCACAAACATACTAAGTCAGATACTCCTTATTTTTTCTGTGTTTTTAATAAGTTCCTTTTGGTGCACGTTCAGTACCTGTGACTGCCTATCTGTTGAAACAAAGTCACACTGGTCAGATGTGAATTATGGCAGTCTCCGTACAAATAAAATACTGCAGAACACTGTGGAATTCAAGCAGTATTTTTCACTGGCCTGGATGCTCAGAGGATGCTGGTCTTTCCAGCACTTTCCTAGAAGTATCAGCACATTATTTAAGACTGGGAATTATTACTATCCCATCAGGTATTGCTTACCTAAAATAGAAATGTGGAGGCACAGTGGACTAAAGTGTGACTTACTAAAGTGGAGACTTCACATCACCTGCTGCTTCATGTGGCTATCTATCTACCTAATATTAATTTTAAGATGCATATTCCTTCTAAAAGGGGCAGCAGTATCTGGGAATAGGCAGTGTCATGCAGAGAGGAACAGGTGCTTACATTTGCTACCACGTGGTCTTTCTTTGCTCCTCCACCCTTCTCATATTCACCATTCACAACTATTACCTCTTTTTACCTTTGTTTTTAACATTACCTTATTTCTTCTCTGTCATATTCTGGTGGATCACAATATATTTCAAAGCAGAAAGGCATAGTAAAACCTCTATGTGACTGTACCTGAGCAAATATTGAAGATTCAGCTGGCCCCATTTCTTCTTTTATTTCCCAGGTGGGCTGTTCCAGCTGGCTGCAGACCTCTGGAGGTTTGCTCCTGACAACAGGAAGAACTAAAGTTAAATAAAAGATTGTGGTGGAAAATCAGAGCAAATCAGCTGGAGCATGGGGCTTGGATCAGAACCTTTTGCTTTCCCTTAAAGAAGCCTGGCACTGTCTTGCTGTTGTTGGTGGGTTTTGATCTAAGTGTTTTACAGATGTAACTAAGCAAGCCTCACAGTCCGCTGCAAAACAGGTTGTAGGCCGCTTCATAGAAGGGATATAACTGGGAAGTTAAGTTACAGCAACAGAAAAGAATAATGTGAGACAAGGAAGAGATCCCAGATCTGTACTGAGACTGTTTGAGCATGCTTCCCTTGATTCAACATAATGGAAGAACAAATAGCAGCACAGCTGACTGTGTGCACCAAAGTGCACATTATTTGCTTCAGTTCAGATTCTAACCAGCTGGTCCCCTGCAAATCAGAGAGAGCATTTCAGTGCTCACAAATCAACAACTCTGCTTCTCATCAAACTGTCTCTGCAGTTGGTTTGGCACCTTGCTGTACAGACAGGTATCATATTGTTAGTATGGGGCTGAATATACTAATGATGAGGTGGCGCTCCTATGGAAGTATCTATGCTAACAGATGCATTAATACAAAGACCCAAAATATCATTATGCAGCTGCCCAAATGGATGCTTTCTTTTTTTAACTTTTGGAATAATTGTACTTGAGAATCTCAGTTTTCATGACAAATATTAAATACTTGCCTTATGGCTGATAGGATAATAATTGAAATGTGAGTAGAGTAGGGGCCTGAGTCCGAAGTCAGCCTGACACATACATCTAAGACTGAACTGCTTTCAATACTATCACTATTATTTTATTACTGGTGGCTCTTTGTTGATATTATTCAGAGACTTACTGATAGAGCTACAAAGTATGTAGTTAACTGTGCTACTGATATTGAGAAGGGGATGCTTGCTGGCTGATGTGGAATTCAACTTTTTTCCTCTGATGTTAGAATCAAGCAAAAAAGATTATCAACACCTTGAACTGTGTCACTGGTGATCACTGGTGAATGAACTTGGTTGGTATCTAGAAATTGAGCACAGCACCAAAATCTTCCTGAAGACAAGAAGCCCTGAAATTGCCCTGTGGCTTTTTCTACCATACCCACATGGCATATTTAAAAGCAACTGTATGTCCCAAACTCACCAACAAACAGAAACACATTAATAGAAATGAGCATTAAAAGTAATAATGTGAGACAGTAGCATATTTCAGTGATAGTACAGCACCTTCAAGAAGAGCTCTGAGAATGAAATAGCAACAGAAGGGATAGTCTCTCAGCATTATTCTTGCCAATTAGTATACAAATATGAGGCAAAAGGCTTCTGAGCATGCCCATATTCATACAGAAGTGCTCTGAAGCCTTAACAATGCACAGCCAAAAAGTGACAGGTAGTTACTTGAGAGTTTTCCCTCCAAACTGCCTGCCTCACCAGCATTTAGCAAGCATGACACCTTCTCAGAAATGGTATCAAAACAAAGATCTAAGCATTATTCAATGAAAAACTTGGGATGCAAAAGTTTCTGTGTCATAAATAACCATATTTGAAATTGGGATGTAAGGTTTGCCTTTTGGCAAGTCAAACAAAAAAAGCTAGAAGACTTCAAATATAGCATTTGAAGGTTTGAAGACACATAAATTGCAACTTGATATTAGTTTTGTACCTGGGGTATTTAATAGAGTAATTTAATGGATTTTTGAAGGATTACATGGTAATTATATTGCAATAAATGGTGACTTAGTCTGGATTGTCAATGACACAGAACATGAAAACTTACTTCCTTATAAAGAAAATGTAAATCTCTGAATTTTAAAAAGTCTAAAAATTATTTTAGCAACCATTACAGCTATTAAGCAAACACTAAAAATAGACAACTTAATTGCTAATTCAAATTAAATAAAGGCTCCATTCACAGTACAGGGTGTATCTACACAACTTTTGATTTCACATTAAATTCTTTTTATACACATTGAAAGTCAACAGGCCCTCATGGGGCCTGATTGAAAACTACTTCACCTCGAGTTCAGCAGACATTTACAATAGCCATTTTAAAATTATGAAGACTTAGCTAATCAGTTGCCTGGTCATCAGAACAAAAATAAAGTGTGCAGGACAGCTTTGGTTGCCACAAATGGATTCCATTGCCACAAATGGGTCCATTGCAAGAGACTCAAGTTCTCCACCTTGCCTCACTGACTACTACACCATCCCTCACCCACCTGCTTGGGATGAGGCTATCAGCCATATCAAGGGCTACTTCTTCAGGAATTTCCCAAGGAGCTTACACCTTTCTTCTTGAGTGTTTATGACAGCTGTGTGAGGCAGTACACAATTAGGCCTCAGAAGAGCTTTCCTTGCAACAGAGACAGCTGTATCTGCATGTGGATCAGCAAACAGGGCAGTAAAATCTGTGCTTAGACTGAAAGAAAAAAAAAAAAAGCACCCAAACAAAAAGAGCCAACTTGTAACTTTATCAGCTTTTCTCTAAATACAATAGCATTACACATGAGTAATGTAATTACATAAACCATAGTTAATTCAAAAACTTAACTCCCCCATATGAAAATAACCATATAAAAAATATATTCATGAAAATGTATTCATGTACACATTGTGCTGAAACTATAGAAATGTATGGCTGAACTTACAGCAGTACTTTCAGAAAAGACACCTTTTAAATGCCACCTTGACAAACAGTGTGCAGATGGCAGGAAACAAAATATTTGGGAATCCAGACTACTTCCAGTGTCCTGAGAGATGGGTTTCAGAGGAAGCATTGAGTATTGAGTCATTGCTGACTCCAGCATCGCCACTGCCACAGAGTCCACCTACCACCAGCTGAATTTAACAAATTGAACTGAGTTTTGCTGGTCCTGTGTCATGACAGCCAGCCACATACACAGCAGGGACAGGCTGCAAAGACCACAGACTAAGTAGAAGAACCAGCACTGTATTAGATGATGTATTCACCTGCCACACCCAGTTTCATAGATGAATATTGTCAGAGATTAATTTATGATTCATGTGTGATTGTGTGTCAAGGGCAGTTGGAATATACATCTGAATATCAACTTACTGGAATGGGAATGCATATATTTCCATTGCTTTGGATGGGAAGCAAGGCCATGAATTGGCCTGTTGAGCCTCTAAATATGTCCAGTATGAAAGAGTCATTTCCAGAAACTAGAGCAGACTCAGGTGTGCTAATTATTCACACCATTAATAAGAGTTGGTTCTTTTTTCCAGCCACTTGAGTACTTATTAAACATTGCAAACACTGCTAAACCGGTTTATGGGTAATAGTTTTATCAAAGTGATGAAATTGTTAAAGATTCAGAAGTAGAAAAGGGGCATTGTGGTGAATGACAAGTAGAGACTGTTCCAGTAGCTTTCAAATTTGTCAAAGCAGTAGTGGGTCCTTCTCTCTTGAAGGTCAGTTAAAAATTCTAGCTGTACTGTAAACATTTTCCTGTAAAAATTTTCCATATAACAGTGCCACACAATGTCCAAAGCAGTCCCTTAAATATAAAAATATCCATTTGATTTTTCTCAGGAGATTAGCTCTTCCTTTGCAATGCAAATATTTTCAAGTGTACTAAACACATTCTAGCACCTCAGTATAGGGACTAAACTATTTGCATGCAAAATTACCCAAAGTGGGCAGACTGGCACAAGCTTATGCTTCTGCCATATGTGCTAAAGAATTTGAGCCAGGAAACTAGTAGTATCTGGATACTATTTACAATTTAAATTTGACTTTATATTATTATTCAAAAGGGAAAAAAACCAAAAAATCTATCATTAAAATTAATGCTATATGTAATACTAAGTTTACCCCAGTGTCTTCTCATTACAATTTTCCGCTTAAAAACTTGATCCAGGAAATGCAGAGAATTTTCTCATTACAACTCTGTCTTTTTTTCTCTCAGTGCTTCTACATTTTAGATTCTTTTCTTAAAAAAAAAAAATCAGACTGTATCCCTCACATTTCTCTTAGACATTAGTTTATGTGTCACTTCACATTTTCTCCCACACACTTGTGTGTAGGAGGCTGCCACTGCACTTCATAGTATGGCAGAGTAGAAATCAATATTTTTATGTCTTGTAGACATTCAGGACCTACCATAGCTTTTGCTTGCATCACAATCAAGTTTGGAGAAGCTCTGTGGATTTTGGAAAAGCTGTCGTGGTTCTGTATTGACAAAATGGAAAAAAAATAGATCAGCCGTAATTACCAGTGAAATATCAGAATGTGGAAAAAGCACAGCTCTTGTGCTTCAAAAGTTCATGCAAACACCATTTTCCAAAAACAACTATTAGCACAACGTGGGACAGGGGATGAAGGGAGGTTTCTCCTGCCATGCCTGCAGCACCCATTGGCACTCTGACTGGTAGCAGCAGCTGCCCTCCATGGCGTGAGTCCCACCTGCCGAGGGAGCATGGGCTGTGTGACTGCACTGTGCTGCCTATCCTACCCACGTGAAGTGGCAGGCATAATTTGAATGAAGCTGGATTTGTGCTTCAGTGTAGCTGCCTAAATTATAAGTCTTGGTTATAGTTTATTTGGCTTGAAGTACCACTATCTCAAGGAGCTGGATGTTCAATAACATGTTCTTCTTGCATCAGTGCACAGTGATAACTCTGTAAGTATCTTTGGGTAATTCTAGCTTTTTCCTCTGAAAAAAATTCAATAGGAAGAAATATCTCACCTTTTTCTTTCTTTTACACTTAAACAAAATCCAAGAAGCTAAAAATCGTCAGTAAGATCAACCCAAAAATTAAGGAATGTGCCTTCAAAATCAGTTTCAACTCTACAAGCAAAACAATTTCCAGAAAAAACTGTCAAATTTCTTTCTTCACAGTTATTTTCCATACAGTACTTGAGTTGAACAGAGTGGTAAGCAAACCTGCAGAGTGACTGGGAAAGCAGAGCTATCAACACTAAGCATTTCTCCTTTGGAACAGCAGAGAAGCACCTCACCCTTCTCACACTTATCTTCACTATCAATTCAGTGGAGCACTCTCTGCTGAAAACTGTCTTCAGCCAAAATAGGATCAATTCTGTATTTCTCCTTCTACCTAGTTTCTAAAAACAAATCTAACATCCACTTGACTCTTGTAAGAAGTACAAGAGTTAATGCTTGCTCTAGTTGCAGCATCCCAAGTGGCCAGTTATTCTTCCCATACGGAAAAGTGAGAGCACTCATGTGTTTTTTTTCCTCTGCAAATGAAATCCGGACACAAAGAAAAAGTTCTCGTGTGATACAAATTTGATGCATATCTTCTGTGGCCCTTTGGCTATGTTGAACTGAACAAAGATTATTTTTTTATTTTTATTATTAGTAGTATTGCTGCTTTCCGAGATAAAACTGATCAAGTTTGATCTCACCACAACCACGGCATCAAAGTATGCTCATATGTTTATCCAGCATAGACTAATATTACTGAAGAATATATATTAATTTTCTCCACGCCTCTTTTCCTTTGAAATGGATACAAAGGGTCACATATACAAACAAACACAAATTTTAAGTTTGATTCTCTCTCCCTACAACTCATCACATTTGATTCATTTTCAGTCTCAGAAAAGCTGAACAAATGTCTCAGTGAACTCTTTCCAGAGAATATTTTGCTGTAAGACTACCTCTGATGTACTGACTATCCAAAAACATCCCACAAAAGAACTCAAAATCTGTGGTTGTGTAGCAATTTTAGTGGAAATTATCCACATTGCATGTCTACCCTAGCGCATTATTAGCAGCGCCGTTTAAACGCTGGTTTGATCTCAAGTACTGAATTGATGAAGTGCAGATCCCAGCCGAGACAAGTCTCTACCGAAAGGCATGCCGACATCTCCCTCTGCTGCCGGCATGCTGGTGCAGCGGCTGGGAGATCCTGGGGAATTTGGGAGCTGGCCCCGGCGTCCCCTGAGCGCAGCAGGCACTTAGGATGTGCGCTCCCACTCTGGGAGCAAACCCATTAAATGCAAGAGCTTCCCTTTGGCATCTTTCATATTAGCCTTTTTGCTAGAACTGTGCATTGCTAAACACCCCATGCACGTGGTAATGAGCTCTTTGAAGTGTCTTTTTTTTATTTTTTGCTAAAACAACATCAACTCGCAGGCACCTCCTCACACAGCGCAGGTCTGGAATCAGTCTTGTACCAGATTTCCCCTCCTCGGTTGCAAAGAAAATCAAATCTCAATTGAAAAGCCTCTGAAAAACTTGTAGAAGACTGTTTGACCACTTTAAAATAAAGATATACAGGAATATAAAGTCAATTTCTGCATGCATAATCAGAGGAAAAGTATTATTGAAAATTAGGAATAGGGTCCAATTTGTGGCTGGCTTTTGAACAAATGTGCAAGCAAGATGTGCAAAGTGTCTCCAGATGCTGCCACACAGACATTTTCTCATTAAGGGGACAGTGACAGCACTTAATGCACTGGGGAGGAGGTGGCTATGGGGTCACAGTTCCCCCCTTCCAGCCAAAAAGAATGGCCTGCAGAGCAGGTGATGCCAGCTTTCTCCTACAAAGGGTTCTGTCATTGCAGGAGTGCAAGGGCACCTCCAGAAGGGCCCTCAGCTCTGACATTTCAACCCTTCAGTATGCAATGACACTCAATTTAGTTTTCAAAGGGTATGACTCTTCTATTGGAATCATTGCCTTTTGTTTCTGTCTCTGCGATTAAGTTTCTCTTCTTTCTCTAAATCCATGCAAACCTGTCAACCCCATCACCCATCTCTGCTTAGAATTGCTATCCTTTGAGCACCTGAAATAACATATGACAGACCTATCCAGTCTCACTCATTTGAAGTGAGCTGTCTCCTTTTGCTCTTGGCTTCATTTTCATGCAGCCATAAAGATTCACGGCATATATCAATGGAAAATGTAATATAACACTCAGAAGTTTTCAAATCTCACTCATTCAAATGAGTGTGACTTGACAAGTCTGATGTGATAAAATAATGCAAAGGGGTTTAAAGATTTCACTTAAATGCACAATGAAATGAAACCTTTCTTCCTTTTTTTTTTTTTTTCTGTTTTTTAAAACTTTAGAAATGAATTCTAAAAGGCTGCATCAAGCTGATAGAAAAGAGGAAGACTCTTAATGTAAGTCTGTCATTTTTCACTTCCAAACGAGAGTGTTTTGCAGTCACCCTCACACTGGCAAAGTTTTGAAAGGGGAGATGGAAAGTGGTATTGATGTAGGCAATTGCAAATATGAAAAACTAAGGAGTTGTATACAATGGAGTAGTGTATTTACCAGAATAGACTTGCAAAGAACGAGCTGTAAATTAACTAAGAATTTTGCTGTACCTCACCTTAGCAACCACACTGTAAACAGAGGGTAGAAGAGAAAGGAGAAAACAAAAACAGAATGAAAGCTGGTAAAAACAGATCAGCCATCTACATCTGGTTGAGTATTCCAGTTGGTGTTTAATGGTTGTCTGATTAGATGTTAGGGCAGGAAAAAAATGGAAAAATATCTACACATATTAAAAAAGCAGAGAGTTTACAGGTACTGGTGAGTAAGAGTTATCCCAGGTATTGAAGACATAAAAAACAATATATAATTTAGGTAGCTGAGTATAGGCTTCTCTATTTCTTTTTAATGCATAATATTTTTAATTTTAATTTTAATTTTAATTTTAATTTTAATTTTAATTTTAATTTTAATTTTAATAATAATAATAATAATAATAATAATAATAACATTACTATTTCTTTTTCATATATAAATAGTTGTGGATGAGTCTTTAGAAGAGCTGAATTCACACACATTCCACTGAGGCTGGCAGGACCAGAAAGCTCACATCTTATTTGAAAATTTTCTTATTTCTTTAGACATGTGAATCCAGTTTCTTAATTATATGGACACTGTTTTAAAGCATGAAGTGTTCTACATGTTGTAAGGTCTGTTGAAGGGCACTGCACTCATGACCTATAACTCCATGGTAAAATGAGACTTGATTGGAAAACCATGTATGTACACATTCTGTTTACTTTAGAGGGAGCTCCACCTACAGTAGATGGACAAAAATCTCCCTTTTTTCAGCTTCCTGAAGCACATATTACTTCCTACTCTCAAAAGGAAGAAATTAGTCTAAACAGGCTCCTGTTTTAATCTCAGTCAATCCTTGTCTTCCTACAATTCATCTCAGTTCTAGAATTAAAGTTCTCGTCTTATTGCTACTTGTGCATCAATAATGTTAAATTCATTCAAAGACACTCAAAGTCTTTCAGTGTCAAAAATCAAGCAGGCCATTGCACTGTGAACAATTTAAAACTGCCATTGTACTTTCTATTTCATACCTATGACACATAACTGATGTGTTATGTGATCCATACCTTGGATCTCCTTTAGAAGACAAAACAGGAGAAGGTGGAAGAAAGCCCTACAAAGTGGTAGACAAAGCATAGAAGACAAAGGACAAGAACTTTAATTCCAGAACTGAGATGAATTGTAGAAACTGAACTATAGAAACTGGTACAGCTAGTCTTCATCTCCAGTCTAAATTTCCACAGGCTTCCACTGTGCTTCCATTTTGGAAGGGACCTTGAGAGTCTCCAATCCAGACTTCTGCACCAAGAAAAAGAACAACACTGAATTTAGGTCAGGTTTCTTAGGACATTGTCCTAAGTCTTGGATCTTGAAAGCCTCTAGTGGTTGAGATGGCACAATCTCTCTATGCAATCTTTTCTATGCCTTAATTATCCTTATAGTGAAATTTTGTTTCGCAATACCCAGTGAGAATCAACAATGTTTCTGAACACTGTGTCTCATCAGCCGTCTGAATGCCTTAGAAAACAGTCCAATTGCAACTCCTCAGCCCCCTCCCCTTGGGGCCTGGACTACTGTTGTCTGCTTTTGAATCCATATCTTCTCCCAGATGAATCAGCCCCAGCCCTACAGTCTCTCCTTGCAGAGCAAAGGCTCCAGCCCCACCATCTTGACTGGCACCTCTGACCTTGCTTGAAGTTCTTTTGATCTAGTGTGTTGTCCATTTTGACGATGACTTCAAGATTTTACTTTTTCCTGTCATCAGGAGATTTTTATAGAAATTTGCAAAGATGAGGCATCATTAAATACTTCCTACTATGTTCTGGGGACTTGCAGGGGTCAAGATTACTCAAGAATCATAGAGCTATTTATGTTGGAAAACACTCTTAAAAGAATTGTGTCCAACCATA